AAGCATCAAATTATCAAAATTAAATGCTCAAACAAAAGCTTAAGTAAAATAGTCTTTATTTCAGGTATCGTACGTTCCACTTTGGACAATAAATACTACAATAATAATACAATAATACTACAATACTATGATAATCAGTACTCATTGGGAGACAAAATGCTCAAACGGGTACACAAGCCATAAAGGTTGGGAAACACTGCTCTATATCACCAAAGGAATTGCCTCCAATAGGAATCATTCTCCAGCTTTAGAAAAACTTTACTCACACTTCAATGTGTCTCTTCTCCTGAAGTTGAGTTTCTTGGTCAGCAATCTATTCCTGAGCAAAGCTGAAGCATTTTTTAGACTAATAAGACCCTGACATCTAATTAGTTGATCAACTAAATGTGACTACCGCACTGTAAATTAATTCAATCCATGCATTGCTGCAGTACACACTCATATTATAAGTTTTAAAAAGCTGTGAAATAGTTGCAAATGAAAAGTGACAAATGAAATATAACTAATAACGTATCCAGTTTAGGTTAAAAAACAAACAAACTAACTGTTTAATTTAATGATTTATTGATTTATTTAATTGAGGCACTTTCAAACCATCAAAAAGGGTCAATGTGGCCTTTATTTTGGCATTTATAAACTGACAATTAAAAGTTCAAGCTGAATCTACATTGTCTAGTACACAGAGGTCATATATTCAATAAGGCAATCTAATCTTCACTCTTTAATTACAGTCATCACTGTATTTGTTTAACCAAACAAGGTCACAATAATTGATTAGATAAAGAATCAATGGCAAAAGCAAAAATCTCATTACAGAAGCAGTGGTATGGACACTTGCACTCCTGCTTAGGTAAGACAGTTCATCTCAATGTCGCTGATGGCAAAGCAGGCAGGAACTTATTTGTTCTGAGGTGATTTTTGATTTGTACATGTCAAAAACTAATGGTGACCTTGCACTGGTGGCTGTGCCAATAAAGGAGTTGGATTCTAATTACCTTTGTCAGTGAAGTGCACTTGGGACAATGCATAATCAGATAGAAATAATGGAGTCAATAATTTGTATTTACTCGGAAACTTGGACAATGTCATTTCTCCCAATTAGAGCAATCATCCATGCATTAAATTAGTTTTTTCTCTCTTGCTCACCAGAAAACTAATTAGGGGTAATTGTTAAGAAATCAATCAATCAGCAGAATGAACTTCCAATGAGGCATGGTCAAAGCTGAAGAAATCTGTGACACAGATGGCTTGGATGAAACCCTAATCTCAGGGGACTTGGTTTAACACACCTAAAAAGCAGCAAAGGAGTGCTTAGCTGAACTGACTCACAGTATATACCATCGCAGATTCAGGGATTGATGCAATAAATTGAATGATTTGTTTTAATCTCAGTTAATCTGCCAGTTTAAACCCTGCCGACTACAACACTGGGCCCCTGAGCAAGACCGTTAGCCTGAGTTTGCTTCCTGGGTGCTGCATGCTGCCCACTCTTCAGAAATACAAAATATAATAAACTCCTCACAATAACAAGCAAAATAGATTGGCCTTATCCTGTTAAATGTATTATTAACTTGTGTGTTTTGCTTTGTTGCTATTCAAACTACTTACTGGATGATTTGCAATAAATCAATAGCATAATTGAAGATGGAAATGAAAATAATATATTTCAATAGGTTTTACTTTATTTCAACTAAAATTATCAAATTAAAATCACAAACAGTAGGATTTATTTGTTCCATGTCTCAAAGTCAACACTGAACAATAGAATAGTATAGTATAGAATAGAATAGAATAGAATAGAATAGAATAGAATAGAATAGAATAGAATAGAATGGGAAATCCATTTATTGTCCCACAATGGGGAATTTGTGGCGTTACAGCAAAAGTGGTCACAAAAAAAGTGGACCTTAAAAAAAGTGTATAAAATTAGCACAATAAGTGACAGATAAAAAAATAATAATAATAATAAAATACTATGCTGTACAGTGTTTTTACAATATAAATATTTTGCATCTGGAGAATAAATAATCAATATACATTTTTACAGTAATGGATATGTGAAAAATATTAACACCAGAACAAGAACAATTCACTGCAGTCACAGCTCCAGCTTCTTTGAGGTTGCACAGTACCAGTTTTGAATGTCTAGTAAATATATACTTCAAACAAACAAACAAACAAACAAAAGATAATCAGGGTCAGTCAAACTGGATGGAGAATATTTATGACCAGCCATTTTTAAAGTGTAACTAACCCAGGTATCAAAGTACTACCCCATCCCCAAAACGACTTTTTAAAAATGCAGCCAAAATGGGGAGTGCAAAGAGACACTAGGGCACAGCCAAATGTAATAACGAATAAAGAGGGTTAGGACAGGAGAATTGGACATTGAATTGGATATTGCTAAATATTCTGAATGATGTACCTACAATATGCTGACAAATAGGTTATAAAATGCTCTCCAGAAAAACACTGTCTGTCAGTGCTCACAATGCCATTCCAACACCTGACACATCACAGAGCGAGATAGGCTTATGGAGCAATTCATTTGTACTGAATTTAGAACACATAGAACAGTCATTGCTATGGTTATAGCAGCGGCTGTAGTGGAGAACAAAAATACAATAGCGAAAAAAAGCATGAAACCAAAGTTCTGTTGACCCAGTGATTATATCACTTCAACTTATCTGTTCCCACAGCACTACCCCCCAATACCATACCCTACCTACTGTACCTTGCAAGGAAGATAAATTGTAGTGAAATTTGTCAATTCATATATTCCTGAAAATACATCTTATCAGAAGCTAATAGATGTGTTAGCCTCAATACAGCAATTTTTTGGAAATGCATTGATGTGTATGATGCCAACCATAAGCAGCAGGCTGAAGCAAAACGCACACCAGTTTTATCTAGAATACCCTCCATTTCTTTTTGAAAAACAAGCACAAGGATGCGATTTGTGCCTTGAATGATTGGAAAGATGGTTGCTTGTCCCTTCCAGTTGGATTTAATGAGAGTTTGATTTATCAGTTGTCACAGATTCTTGATTTTTTTTTTTTTTTTTTGCACTGCCACTTGTTTGTTTTAGTAAGTAAAGATGCTATGAACCCAACCATTGTCTTGTAGTTCAGTATTTCTTTTTTCATATTTATTGTGTACCTCCGACTTTCAGTACAAGACCGAGTCCTGTCATCTGCTAAAATAATCTGCAGTTATTGGGTGCATCAGAGATAGACAACAAGCTGAGTACAGGGAGCTGGTGGTGTGAAAGCGGGTATTTTATCATTAATGGGAACAAAACAGGAGAGATGTTTGTAGATTTTAGATTAAAAAGGGAACAATTACAAGTATGGGAGAAGAAAAGGAGGAGTATAAATATCGCTGTGTGCCCCTGGACAACATACTTAACTAAAAACATAGCTCTAATCTGTTAGGAAGAGAGGACAAACAGGAAGCATAAGTCCTTCAGTGTTTTCAGTAAAAAGCTCTGTATCTTTATTGAATCTTTTGTGGAGAGTGGGTTCTTCTCTGCACATATTTGCTGGGGTAACATCATTAGAACAACTAACCTAAGCAGGCTAAACATGGTAGTAAAGAAAGTTGTCTCTTTTGTAGGGACTCCTCTAGAACTTCTGGAGATGAATCAACAAAAAAAAAATCTTCATAAAGGAAAGGCAAGGCAAGGCAAGGCAAGTTTATTTGTATAGCCCATTTCATGTACAGAACAATTCAAAGTGCTTTACATAAAACATTATAAGCAAAAGGGAAAGAAAACAATTAAAAACAATTAAAATTGTGATTCAAAATTAAAAGCAAAAACTGTTTGGAAAGCTCTGAGCATTCTTATCAGAAGACTGTTAAAGGAGAATTCCGGTTTTTAACACTTTTAGCCCATTTTCTGTAGTGTCCAGGATGAAATCGAATGATCGACACCAAAAGTTTGACAATTGCTCCTGTCTCTGCTTTTTGGCTCATGCAGAATCCCCCCCTGGCTGCTTTAGAATGGCTTCCATTGTGCATGTCCGATAATGTCCTTAAAACAACCTTAAACGTTCTTTTTTTAAAATATGCTACTCACCAGGTCGTCAGCGCTGTTCAATGACGTTCCAAAAAAAGTTTCGTAAAGAAAAAACGTTCCTGTAGTGTTTTATTTAGCATTTTGTAAATCCCATTGAGTTCTGTTGGAATAGTCAATATTCCCCTGCCACCGGAAACGGAAATGGGGCCTGTTTACACAGTTGTAGTCTTTTCGCTTCACTCTGTGTACTCCGACGTCGAGAATCAAGAATCCACCTTTCGTATTCCATTTTCAGAGTTTTTTAAAGTGTTTAACAGAGACGTTAGCACCTCGACGTCGGAGTACACAGAGTGAAGCGAAAAGACTACAACTGTGTAAACAGGCCCCATTTCCGTTTCCGGTGGCAGGGGAATATTGACTATTCCAACAGAACTCAATGGGATTTACAAAATGCTAAATAAAACACTACAGGAACGTTTTTTCTTTACGAAACTTTTTTTGGAACGTCATTGAACAGCGCTGACGACCCGGTGAGTAGCATATTTAAAAAAAAAGAACGTTTAAGGTTGTTTTAAGGACATTATCGGACATGCACAATGGAAGCCATTCTAAAGCAGCCAGGGGGGGATTCTGCATGAGCCAAAAAGCAGAGACAGGACCAATTGTCAAAATTTTGGTGTCGATCATTCGATTTCATAGCCTGGGTGCCAGTCAGAACTTAGCCCCGCCCACAAGGTTTGAGTTCGGGGAAGTTCGGTCTGGCTCTGCTCCATAGTAGCGCGAGTATTAATGCCCACTGTCAGGCGATCCAATCAAATTGTCAGGGCGGACACGATGATGGACAGATGATCAAGAGTAACGTAATCAACCACGTGACCAAAGCGCGCTAGGGTGACAACAATAATGGCTGCCGCTGGAGAGTTTGGGTGAGTAGATTCTGCTATCGGTCTCCGTCAGTCACGTGACATTTGTTGCTAAGACGCCATTTTGAGTGGAGAAGGCGTAGTGTAAACAGCCGCAGCACAGCCAAACAAAAGGACTAAAGGATTGAGTTTTTTTCGCCGACTACATGGAAAAAAGTAAGCAGAATGCGAAACTACCGTACCGGGAAAAACTTAACAACGAGGCCAGGGACCGTTACTTGGCCAAACTGTCGGATATTAACGGCATAGATCCCTATGATCTCCGGAGCAAAGACTGGAGCTCCGACGTCTCTTCACTGCCTCCGACCTCATCAGTGGACATAACCACTTACCTAGTGTTTGGCGTCAGTGCCTACACGTGCGAGGAATTCAAGGCATATAAATCACTGGAAGCACACGGACAGTTCACAAATGGCTGGGTTCAGGATCTGTTTTCCTACCGACCACAGATGTGCAACAACACAGTTGTTACTGCAAAGGTAACCTCCCTCAGCGCTTCTCAAGCAAGCTCCTAAATGATGCTCAGTAATCAAAATATTTTTTTTTTTTATGCCCACGTTTACATAGCAGCCTGTCCAAGATAAGTCTGTACAGTTAACATAAGCCTGAAAACAGGGGCGGATTTAGAAAAATGGGGGCCCTAGGCAAAGACAGGCAGGGGGCCCTATGAATGTGGTCGCCAAAGTCTCCAGTAGCAGAAAAATTTTGCAAGATTTGGCGCTAGGCCCTTTCTTGATATTAAAGTGCTAGAAGAGCCTGTAAAGTCGCTCAAGTACAAAACCGCTCATTGTATCATTTTTTTTCAAATGGTTTGCTGCTGTCCTTTTAGCGAAAGCATTTATATCAAAAACATAATTAAAGTGCACAAGTCAGGAATAGCTGTATTAAACATACATCTTATGGGGGCCCCAGGAACTTGGGGCCCTAGGCACCTGCCTAGTATTGCCTAATGCTAAATCCCCCCCTGCCTGAACATATGTAAGACTCCCATCCCACTAAAACGTTTGTATCTGTGTTATGTTCCTTGTAGGTCATGCACTCCCAAAGACTAAACGACACACCACTGAAACCCTGGGCCATCATTGACCGATCAGGAGCCATATCATCTGCTCACTGTACATGTATGGCTGGGATAGCAGAGACCTGTACGCATGTAGCTGCCATGCTGTTCAAGTTGGAGGCCACTATCAGATGCAGGGAGAAAACAACTGTTACAGGAGAGCCTGCATACTGGATGATACCGAACAACATAAACAAAGTGGGAGCGGAGGTGGGACACAAGATCGATTTTACATCATCAAAAGCTAAACGGAAAAGCCTAGACCAACTCTTGGATGGTCAGGCCGAACACATGCCAGCGCTCAGAACTGTCACAAGCACCTGCACAGGCAACACCAGCACACAGGACCAGTGGAGCGCATATCTTTGTGAACTGCAGAAAGCCTCACCTAAAGCTGCTGTTTTGTCTTGTGTACCAGGATTTTGTGATTCATTTGCAGACACATTACAGCCATGTCCTGCACCAGATTCATTGTCCCGACTGCGTGATAAAAAAATGGATTGCAGTGATTTGTCTGCGTTACGGTTGCACTGCAAAACTTTGTTAAAAAAGGCAGACATTTCACAGGACCAGGCCCACTACATAGAATTGCATAGTAGATCACAGCACAGATCCTCAACATGGTATCGGTTTCGCACAGGAAGGGTAACAGCATCAACCATGCACGCAGTCTTTCGGTCAGATTTGGACAACCCTGCAGTTTCAACCGTCAAAGCAGTATGTGGCACAAACAGCGGTGCAACCAATCATTGTGCTGCCACTGTATGGGGGAGACAAAATGAACAGAGAGGGCAAACACAGTACAAACAGAAAATGGAAAACCAACACTGTGACTTTGAGCTAAGCCAGTCTGGGTTCATTATCAACCCCAAGTTTCCCCAGGTTGGAGCATCACCTGATGCAATTGTACTGTGCACCTGCTGCGGAAAAGGCTGTGTCGAGATAAAGTGCCCATTCAAGTACCGAGACAATACCATTCTGGAGGCATGCAGGAGTGGTGATAAAAATTTCTGTTTGGAAATGGTGGATGGTAAAGCTGCAGCTTAAGAAGGAGCATCCATACTACAAACAAGTGCAGACCCAAATTTTTGTTGCTAATGCAGCATATTGTGACTTTGTAGTGTGGACCCTGAAAGACATTGTCGTGTTACGTGTGGCACCTGACCCCAAGCTGTGGAATGCACTCCTTGAAAAGGCACAGCAGTTCTTTGAGCGTGTGTGTCTCCCTGAACTGGTCAGCCACTTCTTCACACGTGATGCACAACGAGCACCGCTGACAGACAGCTCTGATCCTGTAAGGAAAAGACCTTGCAAGGCTGCAAAACCTCTGGCTGAAAAAGCAAACAACATTGTAGCAGCTGACAAGCTATGGTGTTTGTGCCATGGACCGGAGGCCAAAGATGACATGGTGGCCTGTGACAATGAAAACTGCCCCATCGTTTGGTTTCATTTGAGTTGTGTTGGCCTACACCTCAAAGATGCTCAGTCTGATTTTTGGCTTTGCCCTCAGTGCTCGAATTCAAAAACTTAAACTGTCTTTGTTAATTTAAATGTGTTTTGCAGTGATGTTTGTGTGTTTACATATGTTACCAGTATGTTAAGCTATTGCTTGTGTTTACTTTTGCACTGATCACTTGACACTGGAAGTGCTCAAATTTAAAAACTTAAACTGTTTTTTTTTAAGTGTGTTTTACAGTGATTTTTTTGTGTTTACATATGTTACCAGTATGTTAAGCTATTGCTTGTGTTTACTTTTGCACTAATCACTTGACACTGGAAGTGCTCAAATTTAAAAACTTAAACTGTTTTTTTTTGTTTTTTTTGCAGTGTTGTTTGTGTTCACCAGACAAATGTAGCTGAGCACCTCATACTACTACCTCTTCACTTTACATATGTTACCAGTATGTTAAGCTATTCCTTGTGTTTACCTTTTGCACTGATCACTTGACAGTTAAATGCACACATAAAAACAGTTCAACTTAATATTTTTCTCAATGACCCATGTTCTTTATGCTACCAAAAAAAAAGGAATTTTTAGAAGGTTTTAGAAGACTTTTATTATTCTAAAAAGAATGTTTACAAGTTTTCAGTGTTTGACAATTTTTTATGATGCTACAAAAGAATGTTTACAGGTTGATATTTGCAGGTTGTGGGGATATTTCTATTATGCTAATGTTTACAAGTTTTGTTGAAAAAAGTTTATTGTGCTAAAAAAGAAAGTTTACAGTGTGTACAAGCCTTCCTTATGCACAAGTAAAAAAATCGAAATGCATTTACATCTTGGGTGATTTCTGTATCTACACCACAGTTGGACAATGATTTGTCAGGGCACAGCACACAGTGACGACCTTATCCAAGAATGTGACCTCTTCTCCAGCACAGGGTAAAACCATTGAAATAGGAATAGTTCCATTTAAGATTTTGTACTTTTGACATACATTTCCAATCACCCGTTCAACATGGATTCTCAAATGTGCTATTTTCCTAGTTTCCTCCACATCTCTAGCTGCTAACTGACAGTGGCCTTTGGTGAATGCTGGGAGTTTAACTTCAGCACACAGCATGCCCACACACTCCTGTATGTCAAAACCTCTGTCAGCCAAGACCAGGTCCCCAGGCAACAAATTGTCAAGGAAGCCACTGTTCAGCGTGATGTGTTTGTCGCTTGTACGACCTCCCCAGCCTTTGGACAAAAAACAAATGGCTCCTTTGGGTGTCACACCTATTAAATATTTCATGGTGTGATTGTGCTTGTAGCTGGAGAACATTTGGGCACGCGCTTTTAGGTTTGATGGTTTTTCTGTAAATATCTCAAAGCAGTCAATAATCACTGCTACTCTGTTTCCAAAGGCCTCCTTGAACTGATGTGGCATTACTTTGCGGAGAGTGTCTCTGTCTGGCCATATAATAGCACACCTCAAATTTGCATAAAGACATGAAACCATATCATGAAATGTTCTTTGTGCAGTCCTAGGAGAAATATGAAACAGATAAGCAAGGTGCTGCAGAGGCAAATCCAATCTTAAGCGCATGAGTGTGAATAGGAGCATCTGAAAAGGAGTAAGACATTTCTTTTGATATGACATGAGTGGCAATAAAAAATTAAAGACCGCCAGGAAGGTTGCAAGGTTTGGCAGACCAGTGTAATACTTTACTTTTTCATCATCAGCTCCAAAGAAACTATCGGATATCATGTTCTCATTAAGTTTGCGTCGCAGTTCTATATTCTCTTCTGTCAGGCGGTTGACCTCTGCACGCCTGAGCACACACAGGTCACATTCAGGCTGAGTCACAGTTTCAGTGGGGTTCTGCACCTCCTTGTTTGTGATCAGCTGAGGGTTTTCTTCTCCAATCGCCTGCTGAGGGTGTTCTTGGTTTTCTTCTCCATCCTCTCTGATCTCCTGCTGAGGGTTTTTTTCTCCATCCTTTCCAACCTCCAGCTGACCATTTCCTTCTTCAGCATCACATGTCTCCTCGGTCTGTAGCCCGTCAGTGTTTACATCCTGGTGTATGCCTGTCTCTGCTGACTGAAGGGTCTGTTTCCGTGTCTGCTCCCGTGCCCTTCGTCTGGCAGAGCGACCAGGGTCTGTTGGTTTGATAAACGTGTGTCCAAGATGTAAGGATGGGGCCCAGTCTGGGTCACTCTCCATCATCTCATAAGCTGGCTCACCTGAAACCACATGTTAGGTTTGATTTAGAAAGCAAGTTCATACTGGATAAGGCTATGTCTTATATCAAATTAATTAATTAATTTAATATGGGTGTTTAAATTTGTTTTTGAAATAATAAAAAATAATAAGTTAGAATAATGGTGATTATGAATAATAATAAAACACAAATAATGCATTTTCTGACGTTTTTTAAGTAATATTAAAAGTTTATGTTACCTTTATGAAAGTGCCGAGAACAAACACACATGTGGGGGAATGTTTTGTTGAAAATGAGATCCTTTCTCCTCACTGCTGAAAGCCAGGCCATGCGACGTCTCTTTGTTATTTCCTCCAATTGAGGTCCGTGTGATCGTTTCCAGGTTGGAAAACGGAAAAAAACGGATTCCTTCGTCCCCCGATCTGCCATGCCGGGACTGGCAGCCTCTCACACAACACGATCGGGCCATTTCAGGTTAATAATTGTGCCGAAAGAACAGCCGCGTGTGGGTTAACTCGACTTTCCGCCTAATATGGTGGTTTTCCCACGATGCACCGCGCCCGAGGTAAACAATGACGTCACCTGGCGGAGACCGATTAGGTCTGTTCCAGAAGATATCGACAGAAAATTAATTTTAAAAGAGGAACAGAGAAACGCGATCAAGTCTCATCTTCTTATTCTAGGCGTGCAACTGCACGCTTTGATTTTTGTGGACAACAACTATGCCTCGCTTAACATACGTCACGCACTCCGTTGCTCTTATTGGTTGTAGGTCTATCCAATTGAATGCAGAGGCATTTTTTTCCTGGTTCGTTCGAAACACGCCCCATAATCACAGCTCTATGGAGCAGTATCAGACTCATATTCTGACTAGAATTGAGTCGGACTACGTCAGGCTATCGATTTCATCCTGGACACTACAGAAAATGGGCTAAAAGTGTTAAAAACCGGAATTCTCCTTTAAACCACTAGTGACTTAATTTAAATCCTTCCTGCTTACAGAAGCTATTAACACCTATATTGGCTGATTCAAAAAGAAACCCTGTAAGAGAATTTAATTTCACTTTGGGATGAGTAAAATATTTTTGAATAGAGTTGTTTTGTGTTAAAGAAATTTTACTTATTTAAGTGACATATTCAAGTAAAGAAAATCTTTTAATGTGGACATGATGTATTTTTCCTGTAGTTTTTTTATTTTTTAGGATGTACGTCAAAGTTATTTTAATCTCTAAAATCACATTTTCGCTCATTGTGTGTTTCCTATAGGGGTGCTTGTGGAAAAATCTGAATTTCTAATAGATTATTTTCTTACACTGTTACATGAAGGTCAAATTTAGGGATTTCTGCAACAGATTCTTCAATTCAATTCAGTTTATTTATATAGCGCCAAATTCACAACACATGTCATCTCAAGGCACTTTACAGTTCAACCAGATCATACAGTCAAATTGATACAAAGTTTTCTATCTAAGGAAAACCAGTTGATTGCATTGACTCATTGACTCAAACACAATCCCCCACACTAAGCATGCTTGTAGCGACAGTGGAGAGGAAAAACTCCCTTTTAACAGGAAGAAACCTCCAGCAGAACCAGGCTCAGTGTGAGCGGCCATCTGCCGAGGCCGACTGGGGTTCAAGGAGACAGAAGCAGAGACACAAAAAGCAGCTGTAAAAGGCGGCCCCGTCCAGGAAACACGCAGCCAGGCAGACGAGCTCCAAGGCAGCTCCCATGCCAGAGGACGAAGAGAGCACATCCACTCAGTCACGGTCAGAGAAACAGGACCGCACTGGAAAACAGGCCGATCTCCAACATCTATAAACAAGGGTGTTGATAGAAGCAGCACAGCTGATGTTTCTTTCCAGGATGACGTCACAGCCAAACAGGAACAGACGAGGCAAAGCTACTCTGAGGAAAAGCAGAGAGAGCAGAAGGTTAGAGATTGAACTAACAGATTCTGCAGAATAGGAGAACAGAGAGAGAATGAAGCAGAATTATGAAATGGGGGTCCCTATGTCCTCCAAAAGTCTAAGCCTATAGCAGCATAACTATAGAGATAGCTCAGGATAACCTGAGCCACCCTAACTATAAGCTTTATCAAAAAGGAAAGTTTTAAGCCTAGCCTTAAAAGTAGACAGGGTGTCTGTCTCACGGACTAAAACTGGTAGTTGGTTCCACAGGAGAGGAGCCTGAGAACTAAAAGATCTGCCTCCCATTCTACTTTTAGAAATTCTAGGAACCATTAGTAAACCTGCAGATTGAGAGCGAAGTGCTCTGTTAGGAACATAAGGAACAATCAGATCTCTGATATAAGATGGAGCTTGGCCATTTAAGGCTTTATATGTGAGAAGGAGGATTTTAAATTCTATTCTTGATTTAACAGGAAGCCAATGAAGAGAAGCCAGGATAGGCGAGATATGATCTCTCTTTTTAATTTTCATTAGAACTCTGGCTGCAGCATTTTGGATCAGCTGAAGGCTTTTAACTACAGTTTGTGGACTTCCTGATAGTAAAGAATTACAATAGTCCAGCCTTGAAGTAACAAATGCATGGACTAGTTTCTCAGCATCACCCCTGGACAGGATATTTCTAATTTTTGCAATGTTCCTCAGATGAAAGAAGGAAATTCTAGAAACCTCTTTGATGTGGAATTTAAATGACAGGTCCTGATCAAAAATAACACCAAGATTTTTTACTTTATTATCTGAAATCAGTTTAATCCCATCCAAATGAAGTGACTGGCTAATCAGTTTCTTTTTCAGAGACTCTGGTCCAAAGACTATAACTTCTGTTTTGTCTGCATTCAGGAGCAGAAAGTTAAGAGTCATCCAGGTTTTTATGTCTTCAAGACATGCCTGTAATCTATGTAATGGGTTAGCTTCATCTGGATTTATAGACAGATATAGCTGGGTATCATCAGCGTAACAGTGGAAATTAATCCCATGCTGTCTAATAATTCTACCAATTGGGAGCATGTATAAGGTAAAGAGAATTGGTCCTAGCACTGATCCCTGTGGTACTCCACAGGTAACCTTTGAGCGTGTTGAAGATCTATCATTAACATGAACAAACTGAATTCGATCAGATAGATAAGATTTAACCCAGTCTAGTGCTGCTCCTTTAATTCCAACAAAATATTCAAGTCTTTCTAAAAGAATATTATGGTCAACTGTATCAAATGCAGCACTAAGATCCAACAGGACGAGCACAGATACAAGTCCATTATCTGAGGCCATGAGAATATCATTAGTGACTTTCACCAGAGCTGTTTCAGTGCTATGATGAGCTCTAAAGCCAGACTGAAACTCTTCAAAAAGTTCATTATGGTGGAAGTGATCGCAAACTTGTTTGGCAACTACTTTCTCAAGAATTTTGGATAAGAAAGGAAGATTGGATATAGGTCTATAATTGACCAAGTCATCTGGGTCAAGAGACGGTTTCTTAAGCAGAGGTTTAATTACTGCAACCTTAAAAGCTTTAGGTACATATCCCTGTAACAGAGATAGATTAATCACATCTAAAATGGAGGAGGAGATCAAAGGGAATACCTCCTTAAATAACCTGGTTGGAACTGGATCTAACATACAAGTTGAAGGCTTAGATGAAGACAATAATTTTGCTAATTCAGAGAGTTCAACTGGATCAAAGCAGTCTAAACCCGGTTCAGATTCCATGACTACCTCAGGTACAATCGCGGATAGAGGAGTGCTTATGATCTTATTTTTAATAAGATCAATCTTATTTATAAAGAATCCCATAAAATCATTGCTGCTAAGAGCAGGTGGAATGGACGGTTCAACAGAGCTATGGCTCTGGGTGAGTTTGGCAACTGTATTAAAAAGAAATCTAGGATTATTCTTATTCTCCTCTATTAATGAGGAGAAGTATGCTGCTCTTGCTTTACAAAGAGTCCTCTTATACAGCAGTAAACCATTTTTCCAGACTAGGAAGGACTCTCGCAGGCCTGTGGAGCGATATTTTCTCTCCAGTTTCCTAGCATTTTGCTTCAAAGTATGCAGCTCTGCATTAAACCAAGGAGCAAGCTTTCTATTTTTAACGGTTTTCATTTTCAAAGGAGCTGCGTTGTCTAAGGCAATACGCAGAGAACTAGCAACCCCATCAACAAAATCATCAACCTGTGAAGGGGAATAAGCTAAGCTTTTGCACTCTGCAGCACTGCTCAGTGACACAGAGGAGAGAGAAAGTGAAGCAGATTCTTTAAAATTTATAACTGCACTATCTGATAAAGATCTACTAAAATTGAACCTTCTTTTGGGGGAGGAGAACTCTGTTAAAGTAATCCTGAAGGTTATTGGAAAGTGGTCAGAGAGGACAGGGTTGTGAGGAAATACTGTTATTTCTTCACATTCTATGCCGTATGTCAGCACAAGATCCAAAGTATGAAGATGAGAATGCGTGGGACTATTCACATTTTGAACAAAGCCAATAGTGTCTAAGATAGCATTAAAGGCTGCTCTTAAGCTATCGCGTTCAATGTCAGCATGGATGTTAAAATCTCCCACTATGATGACCCTGTCAGTATTTAATACCAAATCAGAAAGGAACTCTGAAAACTCATCTAAAAATTCAGAGTAAGGACCTGGTGGACGATACAAAGTTACAAAAAGAAGAGGTTTTCTTGCCTTGAAATTTGGATCAGGGAAATTAAGGGTTAAATGTTCAAAAGAGTTGTAGGTATTAATTGTTTTGGGAGTAATCAGTAAGTCAGACTGGAAGATTGTTGCTACTCCTCCTCCTCGCCCAGAACTTCTGGGGATGTGAAAATTTAAATAGCTTGAAGGAGTTGCCTCATTTATGCTCACATAATCCTCTTGCTGCATCCTGGACTTCGACTAAGAATATTTGCTGCTCCATCTTTGAGCATCCGTTTCCTTTGATTTACAAGGACATGTTTCTTAGATGTGCAGATTTGAAATGTTTTACATTCTTTCACAATGCAGGCCCTTATTCTATTTTCATCTTCTCTACAATGACCCAATTGGTTCTTAGTTTTTTATGGTGCTGTGTGTTTGCATGTTCTCCCACAAAAAACTGTATTAATACAGGAAAGAAAACCTTTAAGGCCATGTTTTAAATTAAAAGCCCTTCTGATTGCCTTATTTCCATCTCAAAAACGTCGCTTTATAAACAGGATCTCGCCCTTTAATGCAAAAACATGATGTCATTCTGTGATAGAAACATCAGCCAATCAAATGCTAGACGTTGTTCCCACCGACCAATCAGAATGCTGATTCGCACAACAAGAACCGCCCCTCATTAAGTTAGATTGAATTCTGCTGTCTGTCAATTCTCTAAGTTAGCAACTAGCATCGGTATGACACCTGAAGGAGTGGCAAGAAGAGTCAGCAAATTTCACAGTGAGAACAAGCTCTAAAAAATTTTCTTCAAAGGGAAACCTTTACGTTTGAGGTTAAAACGGTAAGTCACGTCGCTGCGCTGTTTTGTTTACGGTAACTGAAATTAAAGGAGCAGTCGAGTTAGCAACGTCAAAACAAGCTGTGAAGCTAACGCTATAGATGGGAGCTTAAGTCGACGAAAACAAACAGTTGATACCATGAAACGCCAATGTCTGCACTTCTTTCCCCCTATCATTAGGTCATGATATTATATTTATGCTTTTATAGAGGTGTCAGCTACCAGCTGCTACTCTGTAACGTTTGCTAACCAAGCGCTAAATTACGACAGAACTCGCTGTCCTTTATAAAATGTCAGAGTGATTATGGGGAGTCGTGCTTTATTTTCATAGTCTTCCACCGGGTGTGTCGTCTTAACTTGAAGCTACGCTGTAATTTAGATAAACTTCCAATAAAGTCAAACCATTGCTTCACATCCTTGCATAGTTTGTTTTCATGTTAATGCCCTGTTCATCCTGATATTATGTCATTGGACATGTTCATCTGCTTCTTATAACATTTCAGTTTGTCAACATCTGATTATGTGATTCTGTGTTTTTAATGACATCAGTATTTCTCTAATGGATGTCTGACAGCAGCCGCGGATGGCCCTCTGTGGTTACTGTGGGACCTGCTAATGTGAGAACTCCTCCATTCTGAGTCTATGACCGAGTAATGAACCTGAACCCATTCGGGAGCATGTCTGCAAACACAAGTCGGAAGGTAAATCCTTTTATTTCAGGCTCTTTGGATCTAACTCTATAACTTATTCCAGGGGTAACCAATTAAAAACCAGCGTCCGAATAAAGAAAATTAACAACCAGTAAAGGTCTTGAGACATTTTTAATTATAATCTGTTACTTTAAACAGAGTTTAACACTGAAATAAAAAATGAGATGTTGATGCATCCATGTTATACATTGACTTTTTAAATTAAGAAAATAACACATTTTCATTGCTTTTTTAAAGTAGAGAACGAAAACCGTTCAGTTTTGTATGTAGACAATTTCCTGATTCACATATTTTATAAAACATCTGAGCTGACTGTTATTTTTTATGGCTTAATGAGAGCAGTGGGCTTTAGGCTGCCCCGCAAGGCTTTAAACCTGGGTTTGAATGGAGACAAAGCCATTATCAAGTACATATCAAAGTTCTCATTTTGAGACTGGATTGATATTTATTTTTGATTATGTTCATGGTGGAGAGAATCTTAGTTCACACCAGTAGGTTGAGCCAGACACACAAAATGTGCAGGGTCATCTTTGAGCACACCATTTCACTTTCTGTCACCAGTTTACGGCAGTTCTTCTTGCAGTTCTCACACTGTGTCTAAAGCCGGGCGTACACTGTGCGATTTTCGGGGCGATTTTCCAGTCGTGCGAGAATCTTTCAATCGGGCCAACTTTCAGCCTGATCGTGTGTCGTGAGTCATATAGTGTACAGGGGGTTACGAGGGGCGATCAGCCCCTCACGACTAGCTCCCAGTCAGGAATTGTGAGTTTGTATCTAGATTTTTAATTCATTAGCAGTTTCAGTGAGCATTGTAAGGATTGTCTGTTTTCAACATAACTTTTCTAGGGTACCAGATTGCCGCATATAGACAAACATTAAAGTCTTACACTTGGTTATTTTTTGCCATAGTCTTGATGTCTTTGTTTTTTCAATGCATTCTACAGCTCTGTTAAACGCTTCATCAACGAGGTTGTTTTTTTGTTTTTGTTTTTTTATTACATTGAATAGGATTTATTTCCTAGTTGTTACTACAATCAAAAGATTTATTTATTATCAATCTTCCATCTGTGTTTACGAGCCATCAGATGTATGAGCTGCTTTAAAGTGAATATCAGGGCTTTGACAACCACCAGAGGGTCTTTTTCCAACTCTGGGTTAACAAAAGGCTAAGGTCATTGTTGATGCTGGTATCAACTCTTTGGCTGTAAAATGGCATCATCTGCAATGACACTACTTAATGTAGTCTTCTACGTTTCTACAGTGTAAATGAAAACCTGCTTTGAGTTTTTTTTTTTTTTTTTTGTCAGAAAGTGGAGGGTTTGCTACTTTTCTTCAAGATGCAGGAAAATTGCATTTTGTGACCCCTAATTAAAGGCATTTAAACCAAACTGATAATTTTATGAAAACTCAGGCTGTTTAAACCAAAAGTGCTTCTTAGTACATTGACAGCTGGTTTCCATTTAAAAGAAGAAAAATTCCTCTGGCTTAATTCAGTTCTTCAAAGTCAATAGATGGACGTTACTGTTGGAAATTGTAGCTAATCGATCACAGGCAGAGACAGGACATTTCTATGCATAATTTTTGTTTAGTCATGCAAACCTTTTGTAGTTTGATCAAATGGATGGATTCTAGTCTTTTTTTGTTTTTTAAATTGGTATGTTTTCCATTGTTTACCTGTTTGTGCCCCCTGTGTACACCAGCAGGATGTAGCCCTTTGCAGCATTGTCTTAAAGACACTATAACTGGACATGCTGCATGTGACCAGTTTTTTTTATTTTTTATTAAGAGTCTCTCCAGTCTTAATTGTTACAACTTTGAATTATGGTTTTAATGTCCATAGCAACAAGGTCTAATTACAACCAGTTTCCTGATGCTGTGACTTCTCTTGTTTTTAAAACATGAGCAGAGATCGGATGAGGAGCAGAGCGGGCACACGGACCAGAGAGCCAGCCCAGCCCGGACTCACTTCGGTAAAAAGGTTCTTCCACCCATTCCTAAGAATGCAACCCCGATCACCAAGCCTGCATCAATGGCCGCTGCAGCCCACTCAGCCAATGGCACACATGCTTCCTATGGCCCCTTCTACCTGGAGTACTCTCTGCTGGCAGAGTTGTGAGTTTTAGTTTGTAAAAACTGTTTTTTTTTTTTTTTTTTTTTTTTTTGTCTTTATGTGTACTGATTAAATCTGTTGCACTGCCACCCACAGCACACTCGTGATTAAGCAGAAACTTCCTGGAATTTATGTCCAGCCATCCTACAAGTCGGCACTTAGTAAGAACCCAGTTTCTTGAATGATTGAATAACCCCAATCCTGTCAAGTATGTTTCACATTGCTTTCAATTTTTCACATTTTGAAATATAGAAATGTAAACTTTTCTAAGTTTTGGCTTTATTGTTTTTCTTATTTGAACTTGTAAAGTAAGATTTCTTACAGGTTTTTTTTCTGTCTCTGAATGTTCAGTGTGGTTTGGGGTCATATTCATCAGGCATGGATTATATCAGGATGGGGTCTTCAAATTCACTGTGTATATTCCAGACAACTATCCAGATGGGGAGTGTCCTGTAAGTTTTCTTGCACTTAAAACCGATTTATGTTTATTATGGTAAATCTGTTCCATCTCTGAACTCTTTGGGACAAGTTTTCTAGCATTGGTCTTATTTCTAATTGCAGAAATTGGTATTTGACACCCCAGTGTTCCACCCTCTCGTGGACCCAGTATCTGGAGAGCTGGATGTCAGAAGAGCTTTCACCAAATGGAGGCATGTTGTTTTCCTTTTCTCTGGAATGCAAACAACTCTTACCTTCTTTATCAGATTTGCTCAACTTCTTGTCTGAGCAGCTTGTTTAAAACCTGTAAAATTACAGTTTGTCCCACTCTGGGACAAACTGATATCATGCATACTTTCCTTCTTCCTCCTCTTTAAAGCAAAAATGTTTTTGTTTTTTCAGACGGAATCACAACCACATCTGGCAGGTCTTGATGTATGCACGTACAGTTTTTTACAAGATCAACACAACGGAGCCATTTAACCCAGAAGCTGCAGTGCTGTGAGTGTCAAGAACAGAACACATGCTTTTTACATATTACATTAAAACCTTATTTGCATGTTTCGAATTTAACTTTTTATGAATAACAAATTAATAAGCAACAGGTCTTTGTCACGTCAGTCAGTTCAAAATTAGCGGGTGTTTTTAGATGAAATGTTTTTACATTTGCTTTCAAATGGAAATTAGCCACTTTTTTTAAATCTAACTCTGCAGGTATGAAAAAGATGTGCAGCTGTTCAAAAGCAAAGTTGTGGACAGTGTCAGACTATGCAACAGTCATCTTTTTGACCCGCCTAAGATAGATGATCCCTACGCAATAAGGTTAGTCCTCATTTTTCACATTCCTCTGCTCACCACAGGAAGACGCTCTGTAATCCTGCTCGTTTGTGAGAATCTTGTAGGAGAATCGGTTTGTATTTTAAACTCGTTCACCTCTCATCCACCTGCTTTAGTTTCTCTCCATGGAACCCAGCAGTGCACGAAGAGGCAAAAGAGAGGATGTTCGCACACAAAGTAAGTTTCACAAAAATAAATTCTAGCCCTGCATTCTTCTGAACCTTGCTTGGGAACAGTAGAGATAAGCTTTTAGTGTTTGATTTGTCGACCTGTTGTAACTGCAGTGACGTCCCCTGTTATCTTTAGAGACGGCCTGAGGATCACCACAAAGGAACTCATGTGTCAGGGTTATCCTGGGTGAAACCCGGCTCCACCCAGCCCTTCAGCAAAGAAGACGGTCCTCCTCAGAGCTGAGAGTGCACTGCCTCTGCCTTGCCACTAGATGGAGACGAACATTACCCACTCCACCAATGGCTCCCCTCAGTCGTTTGTGTAGTGGTCTCTTGGAATGGTTGGGAGAACATTACTTCTATCTCCACTTTATTACTCAGCTTTAAAAGCTCCTTAGGCTGCTCATGACACAGCTGTAGAAGCATAGTTTTGTGTCATGTGCAAATTGAAAATGACAAATGGATACGTCAGCTACATCGTTCAGGCTGTGATGCAATCAAAGTGCATTGTCTCTCATATTCTGCTCCATGCACATTTAGTTAGATGGGAAGTTAGTCCCAAAAGGAGGTTTCTGGACGAGAAATGCACTTTGTATCCATATGTTAGGTTTAGAGGACTGCTTGATTGAAACCACTTGGGAAATTGGCGTAGGACTGTATTTGTCAAACAAAAGTTATTTTGGTTACAGCAGGAGGACAGAAAATGTTCACATCTTCCCATAATCCTCCAAATTACGCTTTCTTATCCTCGGTGCACACTGTCCTGCATGTTTAGGAAGCCTCCCTGCTCTCAATCTTTTTAAGGGCTTAATTCTGAAGCACCCTGCTGTTTTACTATAACTTGGAGTCAGGTTTGCTAAATGTTCATACATGCAGGACGTTGTGGGCTGAAGACCAGGAAAAGATTTTGTTTTTAATTGGCCAACGGTTTATTTTTATCTTGGTTGTGTTTTACAGAACTTTTAATCTCTGTAAAACAAGGCAGCAAAATATCATTTTAAAGGAGATGCTACATAAATAAGCTCATTTTATTTTGTTGGATTTTAATTATTTTTGAATGCTTTATGCATGTTTATTTGTTAAGTTTTTTTGTTTTGTTTTCTTGTTTTGCTTTTTTCTAAATGATAGATTCATTTCAAAGATGTACGGCTTATGGTTTCCTTAAAAGGTTTAACTCTCACAAACCCCACTCTAAGATTCCAAACCCAAATGTGAGGGAAACTATTTTTATATAAGCTTCATTTGCTACCATCTGGGAAGTACAGAGTTTATTTTAAGGAAAATGTAGGTACATTTTTTTTTTTTTTTCTTCTCCCAACAATTTAATGCAAATAATTGTACGTAGTGTTTTTTCCTTAAGACAGATCTGGATGTTTCTAGACTGCTTATCTTTTGAAATACAACTCTTATTTGTCTGGCTTTCTAAAATTATCTTTAAGGATTTTTATTATATTAGAACAGCAGCAGTGAAACCTGTATGATTTTCATGGGGTGAGAAGTAAAGACCAAGCGGCGTATCGTTCCAATTGCTGTTTGGACTTTGGGTCTCTTTTAAATTCATTTGAAGTGTTTTGGTCTGAATGGTTTCTTTACCACAACAAACATGATGTAAATGACTGTAATCTTAAAACAATAAAACCATTAAAACCTCGCTCTCTCTCAAATTAACTTAACCATTGTCTTCATTTTAAATTGTGATTTAACCAGATGAACCTGGGGGGGAGTGCTTTTTATGATATCTAGATAATAAAGAATCGGTGCATTAAAACCTTTTCTTAGCCTTTGACATTTTTTGAAATCTGATCACTAAAAGGAGCATGTCTTACTAATAGCTTCATATTCCCAGCAGGACCTTTTGCATTTAAAGGAAAGAATCAAAAATCTAACTTTTCTAATCAAACCCTAAACGTCAACCTTGGTAACCACAGGAGATGATTGTTAATATTTGCATGAAAAGCGTTCCGTCTTCTTCATGGCTGTTCAGTTATTGGTGAAGTTTAGAAAACATCCTGTAAAACCGAAATGACCAGTGCTCTGCTAAAATATGAAATCACCTGTCCTGTTGTCTGACACCTTAATTAAGCAAGGATTAACGTTTTGGTTGTGTTAGTTGTGACATCTCTAACGGCAATATATGATCTGATGATTACAGTTCAATCTGAAAAACTCACATTAAGAGAAAAGACAAATAGGAGAATTTTATTGATACAATTATCTTTGGCACTCAGACCTCAGCAGGAAACATGGTGCTTAATTTTGATATATTCTTTGCATGAACAGAGCAAAGAATAGGGCCGTTTTCCCCCAGGCCTGAAACTGGTGGAGTGGAGATAGATGAAGTTGGTCAGTCTGTAGACTGCTGGTTAGCGAGACGGTATGGGGAGATCCAGTGGATTGCGTGAGCTGATACTAGAGCTTCACTCATGGACCTGGAAGATGGAAGTCCAGTTGGATAACACAGGTTGAGAGAACCTGTCCATGATGAGCAAGCATGAAGCGACAGTGGAGAGGAAAAACTCCCTGTTGGGAAGAAACCTCTGGCAGAACCAGGCTCAACATGGCGGTCTTCTGCCGGACCGGTTGAGATGAGACTGGAAACGCAGTAGAGTCAGGAAGGAATGACCCTCTGATGAAGCTTTAGCTACGATGGTGGAGGTGGGGCTGCAGGTGGGTTGAAACAGGGTCATCTGAATAAAGTCACAGTGCATCCGCCGCCTGCCCACCGGAGAACACAAGAGTGGATCAGAGTCCCTTTAAGATGAACTTTGGATGTCGATTGGCTTTCGTGGAGGTTTGGTTCAAAGCTGATTTGCTGTATCACAGGTGGACGAAAGAGAGCAATAAGTTTCTTCAGTTGAACTTCCGCCTAGGCTCCATTTAACGTGTCACTGGTGCCCTGAAAAATTTATCTACGGTTAATTTGTTGTTCTGCGGATTGGTTTTGTTTTATTATTGGATAGAAACAAAGACCTGAAGCTATTATAAAAATAAAATATGGATGTGTCAGATATTTCTGTCATTCTAGTAAACCTAAAAGTAGGGCAGGACCATTAGAAAGATGCTGGGTGTTTATGGTGCCCAAGTCAACTAAACTAACGCAAAAGATAAATTGAAGAGGGTGCAAAAACATCAGGGAAATCCACAGCCTTGTAAGGATTGCTGCAAAGTCAAAAGAGCTATGCAAGCGCGTCCTCTGCCGCTGCATACTCATACAGGACGAGCCAGTTCTGCAAAGTTAATGACAATCTGCTGGGTTTCCTCAGAAAACTTTCAACCGATCCGTATGAACTGATTGAATCGACTCTGTAGAGTGTCTTGAAATGACATGTTGTGAATTGGTTCTATTTAAGGAAACTGGACTGATCAAAAGCTCTATCAAGGTTTAATGGAAAATTCCAAAGGTTTAGCTTGCTTCTGGAATCGAGTTGAGTTTCAAAAGGGATCACAGAAATGTTTGACATGGGCTGGAAATCATGCAAACCATCAATTTAACAGACAGGTTCAGATAGAATTAGGATTTCTGGACATTATTCCCTTAATGTGTCATTATTTAAAAAACACTTAAATACATGATTTTTAGAGTTTTTCAGTGCATTTCTTAACAGTGTTGTGTTTTAATAGCTAGTCTGATGATGCACATCTTTATATTATCATAGTTCCTGAAGATTCCAGAACAAATAATGCAGTTTAACTTCATTTTAGATGTTCAGTGAAGAAAAGAAACACTGTTAGCTCATTTTAAAAAAGAGCAAAGGTTTTAGGTATTCGTAAAGTGAAATTCCCCACACACATTTAAACAATGGTAATGAATCCTTAGAAAAACCTGTGGGTCATTTATTAATCAAATTACTTTTTTTTTATGAGTGCAACTGCTCTGTGGTCGTCCTGGAGTAACTTCTCCTCCTTTAGATTTACTTCGAAACTTAGTTGCACGAGTGCAGATGGGGAACCGTTAACCTCATCACCCATGCATCTGTAGTAAAACCTAAACAACTGAACAGAAAACAGACGTATAATTATAGGTGATAGTTATGAAGTTGATATAAGCAGCCTGCATTTTCCTGGTGGCTTATTGATCGTCAGAGTCCAAATGCTCAAATACATGAACATCAGAAATTAATTTAACTTGAGCAAATTAGGAAGTAATGATCAAATCTGGCAAGTTCTTTCTTCGGCAGATCTTAAACAATAGAGTAACAGTTTGGACGCGCTTATAAAAGTATTAAGGTGCAGTGGGCATTTTAGGATACTGCTGGTACTACTCAAGCACAGCAGATTTGTTAAATGATCACATTTGATTTAAGGTTTGTAAATGATGCAGTCAGACAGATGTTATGTGTAAATTATATTTGTTTTAAATTAAATAAATGAAAATACAATCGAATACATAATTACAGAATAACAAATTCACATAAAGGAAAAACCTTTCCAAATCAATTTCTTCCGATGTTAATCTTTGTAAACCCAATCCTGAGGGTAAATGTTACAAAATATGTTACAAAAGGATAAGGAAAGTCCACTGTTTATTGCATCTCACCAGATCTTAGAATAAATACAGTTACTCAGACTGAACAATGTAACCAAAAATCGTACTGAAGAAGGAGTAGTCATACTTCCCAAGAATATTACTCAAGTAAAAGTATGAAGTACTGTAGAGTAAAACTACTCCTTCAAAGTAAAAAAAGGTTTTTAAATTCTTGTTCAAATAAATGTTAGAAGCAGAAGAGTTAAGAAGCTTTATAAGAAAACAAACACTTCTGGCAAAGTGTTTAAAATTCAAAATCGTCACTTAAAAAACAAAGAAAAAAGCCACTGTTTTGGCTGTTTATGCTCTTGTAAAATCATACCGGTGGCTTATTGATTTTGAAGAAATGTTTCTATGCTCAACAAATTGTTTAGGTGATGGGTTAACTCTGGTACCATTTTGTGGCTCAAAATCCTGAAAAATTAAAATTTCCTTAAAATGTGCATAATTTAACTTTATCTAATCTGCCAAAAGAGAGATTATTTTAGCCCTTAAAAATTGTAATTATATACCATCTACCTGAAGATAAGATGAGATAGACTTGATTGATCTCACAGTTGTGGATTTCGTTTCGGCTCAATATTCAAAAGAAGGTGCCTAAAGGAGGAAAAGGTGCATGGAGGGGATTGAGAAAAAAGGAATAAGGCAGAGATTTAAGGTGACTTATGCACATTTAATGAGACCTACAGTATACACGTATGGATTTGGCGTTGTACATTTAAGTGGTACCAGCTAAAGAACAACAGTGAGGCAGTGAGAGAACTATAACAGCTGAACTCTCTTATTTAATGGATAATTTCTATTTTTTCAAATGTAAATGATCTTATGACCATGAAGGAAGGAATGTGGGATTACTCGGCTTCACTGACAAAGTTGTGAGTTGTTTGGGAGGGCCAGTAACATATAGGTGGAAAATTACAGAATTAGGCAACTTTTTACGTGCCCGAGGGGTCCCGGTGATGCTGTTTTATTAATGGAGGAGCAGAAGGTGATTAAAACAAGAGAGATTGTTTGGTCTTTAAAACAGACATGGTTACAGCTTGATGCTAGCATGTTTGTTAGCAGTCAGAATTCAGTCAGCATTCTTAGAAAAAAGTCAGAATTATGAGATTAAAGTCAGAATTCTGAGATTAAAGTCAGAATTCTGAGATTAAAGGCAGAATTGTCAGATTAAAGTCAGAACTCTAAGATTAAAGTCAGAATTCTGAGATTAAAGGCAGAATTGTCAGATTAAAGTCAGAACTCTGAGATTAAAGTCAGAATTCTAAGATTAAAGTTAGAATTCTCTGATTGAAGTCAGAATTCTAAGATTAAAGTCAAAATTCTAAGATTAATGTCAGAATTCTAAGATTAAAGTTAGAATTCTCGGATTAAAGTCAGAATTCTCCGATTAAAGTCAGAATTCTAAGATTAAAGTCAGAACTCTGAGATTAA